TTCCAATCTTTATGTAATTGTACTCAGTTAAAATATGAGATTCATTTTCCTACAAGGTCAATTAAATATGCAATTAAAAGCTACTCCCGCATGTCTTCCTCCCATGGCTGTCAGTGCAAATTCCCCAGGGTACCGATTTGTACATTTTACAGAATCATTCATGTGAACTGTATTCCAAATGGCTTTAAAATATTAAAAGTTCCATTTTACAATTTCTTCTGCTCAGTGATCAGTATGGTGAATCTCCTTCATCTTGATAAAGGTCATAAAGTTTTTGTCTTCTTCCAAGTGCCTGATTTTGTAAGTTGTAGCATGAAGAAAGAGTGAAGAGGAGAGAACAGGTCATGAAAAAGAAAGAGAATGGAGTCAGCATCAGGAAAGAGATGATATTTAAGAAGAATGAAGTTCCCCTCATTCTGGATATTTCTTTCTACCTTTTGTAACTTATTCAGTCAGATGGCCATTGGTCATGACTCAACAGAAGTGGAAAGAAGTGAACCTAAAAATAATCAAATTTTGTCTTTATAATTTCAAACATCTAGGTTCAGAGGAATAGAGATAATTTTTATCCAGAAGCAATATATTTAGGAGATGTTTTGATCAGTAGAAAAAATTTAATAGTTTCCCACTACCTTTCCATCCCCCCCAAAGTGTATGATCCTTTTGCACTGTTGGTTGGAATGCAAACTGGTGCAGCCACTCTAGAAAACAATATGGAGTTTCCTCAAAAAGTTAAAAATACAGCTACCCTACAACCCAACAATTGCACTACTAGGCATTTATAGAAAGAATACAAATATAGTGATTCAAAGAGGCACATGCACCCCAATGTTTATAGCAACACTATCCACAATAGCCAAAATATGGAAAAAGCCCAAATGTTCATCAATTGATGAGTGAATACAAAAGATGTGGCATATATATATATATATATATATATATATATATATATGTAATATTACTCAGCCAACAAAAAGAATGAAATCTTGCCATGTGCAACAACATGGAAGGAACTAGAGTCCATGACGCTAAGTGAAATAAGTCAGAGAAAGACAAATACCATATGATTTCACTCAGATATGGAATTTAAGAAACAAAACAGATGAATATAGGGGAAGGGAAGAAAAAATAAAATAAGATGAAAATAGAAAGAGAGGCAAACCAAAAAGGACTCTTAGCTATAGAGTTGCTGGAAGAGAGGTGGATAGGAGGATGGGGTAATTGGGTAATGGGCATTAAGGAGGGCACTTGTTGTGATGAGCACTGGGTGTTGTATGCAAGTGATAAATCACTAAATTCCACCTCTGAAACTAATACTACACTATACATTAACTAACTTGACTTTAAATAAAATCTCCAAAAAAAGGAGAGAGAGAGAATGAAGATGTGAATAAACAACAGCAGTGAAAAATGGGTACCTAATTATTAAGTAACCAACCACTTAAGATTAAATAAATACATATGACCCAGGAATCCCACTTCTGAGTATTTATCCAAAAGAAACTAAATCAGTATTTTGAAGAGATTTTTGCACTCCCATGTTCATTGCAACACTATTCACAAGATATGGAAACAAGCTAAATGTTCATCAATGGATGAATGGTTAAAGAAAATGGTATGTGTATATATAAAGGAATAGTATTCAGCCATAAAAAGAAGGAAATCCTGCTGCTGTGACAATATGGATAAATCTGGAGTACTTATGCTAAATGAAATAATGTAGACATGGAAAGATGAATACCATATGTACTCACTCATATATAGAATCTAAACAAAACAAAACAAAAGCCAAACTCATAGAAAAAGATAGTAGAATGGTGGTCACCACAGTCTAGATAGAGGCAAAAATGGGAGATGCTGATCAAAGAAGGGGTCAAACTTTCCATTATAAGGTGAATAAATTCTCATGCTCTCTTCAGCAGCACATATACTTAAACTGGGATGATACAGAGGAGATTAGCATGGCCCCTGTGTGAGGATGACATGCAAATTAGTGAAGTGTTCCACATCATATTTTTCCTCACACCATACACAAAAATACATTCAAAATGGATAAAACAGCTAAATGTGAGACACGAGACCATCAAAATCTCAGAGAAGAACATAGGCAGCAACCTCTTTGACATCAGCAATAGCAACTTCTTACTAGACACATCTCTGGAGGCAAGGGAAACAAAAGCAAAAATGAACTATTGGGACTTCATTGAGATAAAAAGATTCTGCACAGGGAAAGAAATAATCAACAAAACTAAAAGGCAACTGATGGAATGGGAGAAGATATTTGCAGATGACATATCTGAAAAAGGGTTAGAATCAAAAATCTATAAGGAACTTGTCAAACTTAACATCCTAAAAACCAAATAATCCAGTTAAGAAATGGGCAGAAGACATGAATTGACATTTTTCCAAAGAAGATATCCAGATGATTAACAGACATATGAAAAGATGCTCATCATGATTCATCATCAGAGAAATACAAATCAAAACTACAATGAGGTATCATCTCATATCTATCAGAATAGCTAAAATTAACAATGCAGGAAATAACGGATGTTGGGAAGGATGGAGAGAAAGGGGAACCCTCTTACACTGTTGGTGGGAATGCAACCTGGTGCAGCCACTCTGGAAAACAGTATGAGGGTCTCTCAAAAAATAGAACTACCCTACAATCCAGCAATTGTACTACTAGTTATTTACCCAAAGGATACAAAAATATTGATTCAAAGGGACACATGCACCCCAACATTGACCATTATCAATAACAGGTACATTATGGAAAGAGCGTCACTGTCCATTGACTGATGAATGGATGAAGAGGTGATACATATATACAATGGAATATTACTCAGGCATCAAAGAGAATGAAGTCTTGCCATTTGCAACAACGTAGATAGAGCTACTGTATATTATGCTAAGGGAAGTAAGTCAGTCAGAGACAAATACCATATCATTTCACTCGTGTGGAATTTCAGAAGTGGCAGATGAACATGGGGGCAGGGGGAAGAGAGAGAGGCAAACCATAAAACAGACTCTTAATTTTAGAGAACAAACTGAGGGTTGCTGGAGGTGGGCAGGGGAATGGGTTAAATAGGTGATGGGTATTTAAAGAGGGCACTTATTGTGATGAGCACTGGGTATCATACATAAGTGATTAATCACTAAATTCTACTCCTGAAACTAATATTACACTATATGTTAATCAACTGGAATTTAAATAAAAACTTGAAACCAAACAAAAATATAAGATGCATAAGTTATTGGGACCTAACATACAACATAGTGACTATGTTAATCATACTGTATAGTCGACTTGAAATTTGCTGAGTATAGGGGATCCTAAGCACTCTCACTATGTACACACAGAATAAAAAGTAACTATATATAATGAAGGATATGTTAATTAACTTGATTGTGGTAATCATTTAATAATATATATGTATCAAATCATCACATTGTATACTTTAAATACCTACGATTTTATTCAGCATTATATTGCAATAAAGCTGTAAAAAAGCATTAAATAAAGGTACAAATAACAAAATACAGTGACCAACATAGCAGAAATAAATACGAAAACCTAGATAACATGAAAAAAAATTCTAGGGAAATATAAACCAGCAAAGTGGCCCATCATGAAGAAAATCATAAAATCAAAGAAAGAGTAGAAAAATTTTTAGAACCACAAAGATATCAGACCTACTAAACTTTTTTTAGAAAGCCAATTTCAACTATAAAAAAATTCCAATATATAGAACAGAAAATAGACAATTTCTCACTTCCTAAGCTTAGTAATGTCTGTGGCCCCCAAGGCAGAAAAGCACAAGAAAGCAAAAACATATATTAAAAAAACTTATAAACACAGAAGCAAAATCCTAACAGAATATCAGCAATTCACAATCAATACTTCATTGTAATGAACTCTTGACCAATGGTTTAATCTCAACATTACAAGGATAGCACTATTTAAGAAAATTTCCAAAGTTAATTCACTAAAATAAAGTACCTAAATGAGAAACAAAACATGACTAAACATAGGCCAATATATCACCGAATGATATCCAGCAAACATTCATGAAAAAAAAAACCTTGGCAAACAACTTTCATAAATGTATCTACCAAATATGTATAGCAAATATATGTACAGTATAAGATGCAAATTAAGTTCAGAAATTTAAAAAGTTATCTCTTATCACCACTACTAATCAACACTGTCCTAAAGGTTCTAACCACAGCAAAAGATGAGAGAGAAAAAATAAGTGGCAAATGGATGCATCAGTTGGATGGATTTTCTGTTGGAAAATAGGAAATAAAACATTTTCAGTGGTTATGATCATCTATATAATCAATCCAAATAACCAACTGACAAACAGAATTAAAGAGGGAATTCAGCAGTGCCTAAATACAAGATCTACATACACACACAAAAAACCTAATAGCTACCCTGTAGAGCAACAATGAATCATTAAAAAAAATTGCTCAGAACTATGAAATTTGGAATGGAGACATTTGGATGGTTTTGAATGAATCTGAGAACTATGAACTTTAACATTACCTGAAGTCACATTTCCCAAATGAAACTTCCTTTCCTCTTTCCAATCTAAGAAAGCCAGCCCCTCCTTCATTAAAAAAAAAATATATATATATATACATATATACATATATGTATATATATATGAATATATGTATATAAGGCCACCTCTGGGCGGGACTTCTAGCCTCCACTCACTGGACCATGCTCCATTCTATTTCATTCCGGTTCATCAGAGAAACAGCCAGAAGCACTAGGCAGAGGCTGTGTCTCCATCTTTTTTTCCATGACCTAACAGGAGCCATTTTTGAGGTTGAGGCCTACGTCTCTGCTTTGTTAGCCCAGCTTTAGTTTTGTGTGTTGTCCCTTTGTGTGGTGATTTGGTGTTCCTGACCATGGTGTGGACAATCTTGGGCCTCGTACTTCCTCACATCTGCTGAGGCCGCCCTTTCAGGGCCTTGATACTATAGCCATGGCAGAGGCTGGTGTGCAGTGGGATGCAGCCCGCAACCTTATAACCTTTGAGGATGTTTGTATATACTTCACCCAAGAGGAGTGGGAGCTACTTGATGCTCAGAAACGTCTATACTGTAATGTGATTCTGGAGAACTTTCTACTGGTGACCTCAGTGGGATTTGCAATTTCCAGATACCATTTAATTCCCCAACCACGGCCAGTGAGAGAGTCTGTAGTTCCTGAAAATGTGGCGATAGGTCCAGCCGAGGCAAGGATCGTCCAGGGGAGCCTTTGCCCTTGTCATAAAGTAGAAAATGAAGATGAATCTTTTGAGCACGGTGTTTCTATAAAAGACTCACAGGTGAGAATTCTCAGAGTGAGTCCTTCTATATCCCAAAGAGCCACTCATGTAATATGTGTGACCCGATCTTGAAAGACATTTTGTGTCTGTCTGGGCATCAGGGCACATCCCTTGGGCATCAGCCACACCCATGTAGATCATGTGGAAGAACCTTCTGGGTCACTGTCAACATTGACCAAATCCTGAGGCAGCACAGTGGAGAGGCAGTCCCTAGAAAAGAAAATGACCAACCTCCTTTGTGAAGAGCTGCAGAAGCCACATGTCAGAGAAGGTCTTCACTTGAAAGAAGGATGAGGAGGACTCCTTGGCCAGCACTGGACTTGTCCAGCCCCATGTGACTCAAGATGAGGAGAAGCCATGCATCAGCAGCCAGTGTGAGGAAGCCTTTCATGCTGGACAAAAAGATTGCAAGTGCAGTGAATGTGGGAAAACTTTTAGCAACAAAGACAAATGTGTCCAACACCAGAAAATCCACACTGGAGAAAAGCCTTACAAGTACAATGATTGTGGGGATGTTTTTGTCTGCAACTCCAGCCTCCAAGAACACCAGAGAGTTCACATGGGATCAAGGTCTAATGACTGTGCTGAATGTGGGAAATCTTTTATCAGAAAATCCCATCTTATTCAGCACCAGAGAATTCACACTGGAGCAAAACCTTTTGAATGCAGTGAATGTGGGAAAGCCTTTGGCCACAAAGATACACTTACGCAGCACCAGAAAACTCACAGTGGAGAAAGGCCTTTTATGTGCAGCAGATGTGGGAAAGCCTTTCTCCACAAAGATGCGCTTGCTGAGCACCAGAAAAGCGACACTGGAGAAAAGTCCTACAAGTGCGATAGATGTGGGAAATTCTTTAGCCACAGCTCCTACATTAAAGTACATAAGAGAATTCACAGTGGAACAAGGCCTTATGTGTGCAGTGAATGTGGGAAAGCCTACATCAGCCATCCCCACCTTATTCAACACAAGAAAAGTCACACCACAGCAAAGCCTATGGATGAAAAGAATGAGGAAAATTCTTTCATGACAAGTCCAGCGTCAGTATGCACTGGAGACACAGCACCAGAGCAAAGCCGCATGTGTTCAGCGAATGTGGAGGGCTGATGGGAGATACTCCCACCTGGCTTGGCACATAAAAATTCATACCAAAGAAAGGCTTCTCGAGCCTCGGTGTCCATCGAAAGATGAATGGATAAAGAAGATGTGGTTTATGTATACAATGGAATATTCCTCAGCCATTAGAAACGACAAATACCCACCATTTGCTTCGACGTGGATGGAACTGGAGGGTATTATGCTGAGTGAAATAAGTCAATCAGAGAAAGACAAACATTATATGGTCTCGTTCATTTGGGGAATATAAATAATAGTGAAAGGGAATAGAGGGGAAGGGAAAAGAAATGGGTAGGAAATATCAGAAAGGGAGACAGAACATGGAAGACTCCTAACTCTGGGAAACGAACTAGGGGTGGGGGAAGGGGAGGTGGTCGGGGGTGGGGGCAACTGGGTGATGGGCACTGAGAGGGGCACTTGATGGGATGAGATGAGCACTGAGTGTTATTCTATATGTTGGCAAATTGAACACCAATAAAAAATAAATTTACAAAAAAAGAATTATTTCAAAAAAAAAGAAAGGCTTCCCATGTGTGTGAGTTTTGGTGATCCTTCAGCTTCATCTTTTAAGTTCATTTAGCACCAGGAACCTTACACTGAGGGAAGCCTTAAGAGAGCAGGGAACGTGCTTTCTCCTTGCTCCACACAGCATGACTCACAAAAGAGAAAATCTCTGCAAGGTGGCCTTTGAGATGGAGTCAACACCCTGAAGTTGAACTTCATACATCTAGCTCTCCATGCTGGGGAGAAAACTATAAGTGCCAGCTGTGTGTGGGGGGGTGGGGGGTTCAGGACCTACTTACATTTTCTAATCTTCCCAGGGCCTTCACTTGATCTGAGCAATGCCATTGCCTGCATCTGTTGTGGAGACCACTGCACTTCTGCCGGCAGTAAGGACCCCACAGTATGTGTCTGTCCCCCCAGTGTTCTCAGGTAAGGCACACCTTTACCCTCTCTCCTATTTCCTGGAGGGAGTCATGAGTGATGTGAACCCATTAGGGATCCTCATTTCCTGGCCTACAGATGGTTTCAGTGTGGACATGACTCAGCACCCAGATCTGAGCTGGAACCTGCTGCTGTTTTCCAGAGGTTTCTGTTTTCCATGGACAGTATTGACTCTACATGAGATGGCTGAGATGAATTTCTCCAGCCTCCAAATCACCCGTCCTTGGAACTGCCTGCCCCACACTGATCTGATTTGTGCAATGAAAATGCCTTATTGTTAAAGCCTTTGTTCTGTTCACTGTGTGGGGTTGATTGAGAAAAGAAATGGGCTTTCAAGAAGCAGGTCATGACTCACTGAGCTCATTGCTTCCCTTCACACCTGTATACAAGGGTGTTGATTGCTTTCCACAGGAAGAAAACTAGGACTGTGGGCTAAATAGAGTTGTGCTGTCCAATACAATAGGCACTAGCCACATATGACTATTGAATGCTTGAAATGTGGGTGGTGTGAGCTATGTTATAAAATGCACACTAGATTTCTAAAACATAGTATGAGAAAAAGAGTGAGAAAGAATGCAAAACATCTTATCTTTATACTGACTACATATTAAAATGATAATATTCAGGGCATATTGGGCTAAATAAAATATTAATTTTTTAAAGAAAAGAGAGAGCGAGATATGGGCTTTGCCAGCATGATGGGAAGATGGAGCCCCAAACTTTTTGTGCATCAGAGAAAATGGCAGGAGGGTAGAGAACAGTTCTCAGTCTAATTTAGCCTAATTGTCAATGCTGCCCAAGCCTTCTTAGGAAAATTTATTCAGCCTTGTAGGACTGATCTTAAAACTTAGATGTCATGATCTCCTATGAGCCCTCAGCTCACCCTGATGAAGGGTAAGTGGTATGACAACCTCTAGTTCTTTTGGGAACAGTAGGATTTAAGTCCCTTTTTCCTAGAGGATGTCTTATATTCCCCAACACTGTTGAGGTGCAGCTGTCTCCCAAGACCAACCCAGAAGTTACAGCCCCTGTGAAATCCAAAATTCAGGAGGCAGATCAGACCTTCAGGGGCTAAGTAGGAAACATAATTGATATATTTCTTGTTCTGATGCAGAAAAGGTTGTCATTTTCCTGACATTAGAATTTATTAATGGTAAAGATACAAGTGTTGTTTTGTTACTTTCCAAAATTTTAAGCATTAGCACTTAGTAAGTCTAACTCTGGTAAAGATTGTTTTATTTAGATATCCTTAAGTAGGCTTGACTATAACTTATTTAGGAAAACAAACCTTTCGAACATTAAAATTAAGTAAAATACACTTTTAAGATTTAAAAAACATAATATAAAAGCACTGTGTACAGAAACATAATTAAGGACTGGTGGAGATTGTGGCAAACTAGAGGTTATGTGTCTGCTCGGAAGGGCATACATAAATTTCATGTGACTGTGGTTCTGGGTTAAAGGTGTACAGAAACTCTTAGAACCTACAGACCTTTTTACCTCCTGTGGCAGAGGTCAGTGTCAGAGCAACTAATCTAAGGTTTTCTGGATTCCTATACCTTCCTGGGCTGTTGACCTTAGGCCGGCACTGCACAGGCAGGTACCCCAGGACAGAGAAGAAAGCTCCTGCAGTCTTGGGTGGGTCTTGTGACCCAATCAGTGTTTGGGTGGACATGGTATTAATTATTCTTCAGTTTTTGCTGTCACTGAGGTCGGGCTGACCCTACCAAGATATGAGAAGTGGGAAATAGTTGAGTCAATATAGGGGTTGGTTGATATTCCAAGCAAAATGGGAGATCCAGATTTTTATGTCGAAGCATTATATCTCTTAATAGATTTGTTGGTATATAATTAGAATATAATAATAAACTGCTCATATTTAAGTTGTGCCATTTAATGAGTTTTGACATATGTAGACATCTGTAATACTATCACCGTAATTAAAGTAATGAGCATATCATTACCCCCAAAAGTTTTCTCATGCCCCTTCATAATCTCTTCCTCTTGTCCCTCCCTAACCTCTCATTCTTGTTCAACCATTGATTTATTTCACAGTACTTTAATTTGCACTTTCTGGTATTTTATATAATAAATAGTATATAATAATATGTAACAAATAATAAAGCCAGTATAGGCTTCTTTTTTTACCTCCTTTCAGTAAGGATAATTGCTTGAAGGTTAATGAAATTATTTCTTTTTGTCACTGAGTAATATTTCACTGTGTGTGGATGTAATACAATTGTTCACCCATCAATTGTCAATGGATATTTAAGTTTTTCTAGATTCTATTAAAAATAAAGCTTATTTGAGGAAAAAAAAGAATCTTTAATGAATTTACAAAGGCAAAGGAAAGGCCTTGCAAAAGAAAGGCAACTCAAGAAGAAACCCCTCCACTCATATCGTCTCTCCATTGCCCTTGAGGAGTCAGATTCTAGCATGGTCCAGGTAAGATTGAGGGAGGAGATGGCACTTATATCCAATGTACTTGCAAATTGCTGCTAATCTGTATAAGAGATCAGGATGTATTGTGGGAATGTATTTTAAGTTTGCTGGGCCAAGGAGAATAGAATGTAAGGTTAAATTAGGTAAAATTTATCAAGATAGGTAAACTTGGGCCACCTGGGTAGCTCAGTCGGTTAATCATCTGACTTGATTTCAGCTCGAGTCATGATCTCAGAGACTTGGGATCCAGCCCCAGGAGGTATTGGGCTCTGCACCCAGTAGGGACTCTGCTTCTCTTCCTCTCCCTCTGACCTTCCCCTCTCTTTCTTTCAATCTCTCTCTCATTCTCTTAAATAAATAAATGAAACTTAAAAAAAAAAGATAGGTAAACTTACCTGAGATTTAGCATTTAATGGGCAAAGTAACAGTTTGCTAAAGCCTGGCCTGAATGTTGGCCTACATGGAAGAGTTCAAATGCCCCAGAATTTCCCTGGGACAATTTTTCTGCATCTCAGAGGTATGACTCCTGCATATTACATTTCCAAGGTTTTTTCCTCTGGCTTCTATGTAGGCTTAGCCAGTGGGAGGCACTTAAGGGAGACTGGAGGTAGGGAGAATTTAAGTTTCTTCTCCTTCCTCTATGCATCAGCTGGCTTCCCTGGCAACATCCCCGTCTCCTTCTTTCCTCCAGTAGCCCTTCCAAACAGTCCTACCATGGTTAAAAACATCTACCAGGTGACCTTGAGCCCTGGGTAGCAGCACACCACCCTAGGTGTATCCCTCTAGCCTAGGGGTGGTCGTTGTCTTCTGCCGATACTAATATCTGTGTTGTCCCGCCTCCCCTCAGTTTTGGGATCCCCACACATCCATCAACTGAGTGGCCAATTTCTTGAATTAAACTCCTTCTGTTTAAATACTTCACTAAAGTATTTTTGGTTAAGTCCTATTTTTCTCTAGTTATATTCAAACTAATGAATGACTACACTGAAAGAATCCTGGAGGATGTGAGTGAGAAATGTGGGAGCTAAACATTTTTTAGTCAAGATTTCCGCAGAAAACAGAGAGCTTATTCCAAAAGTAGTTGAAGAAAATCTCATGAAAGGACAATTTAGAGAGTTTAGAGAAGGATTACAGAACTCAATTCAGGGGTGCCTGGGTGGCTCAGTCAGTTAAGCCACCACCTTCAGCTTGGGTAATGATCCCAGGGTCCTGGGATCAAGCCCCATGTCAGGCTCCCTGGTCAGTGGGGAGCCTGCTTCTTCCTCTCCTCCTGGCTCCTGCTCTCTCTCACTATCTCTGTCTCTCTCAAATAAATAAATGAAATCTTAAAAGAAGAATTCAATTGAATGGTGATGCATCCAGAGACTAACAATAGTATGAAGCTATCCCCAGCTTACAAGAGAAGGCAAAGGAGAGAGCAGTGTTACTGGAACTGACGAGATCTGTAACTATTGGAGACGGGCCCTCGACAGGAGATGTAGCCATATGTAGGGGCACATGGACACTATTAAACTGCAATCTGGCAAGGAAGGGTCACCCAGAAGTGAGTACAGACACCTGACCTCTCTCTGCTCCTGACCTTAGATTCCGGTCCAATACCTCTC